ATGTATAGAGCTGTCAATATTTTCCATGAATGATTTATTGCTACTCAAATGATATTCAAAATTTATGTATCTCTTAACTTCAATCTTTACTTGCTTTTTAGTTATTTTGTTAACAATATTATTATATTTATAAGAACTAGCACCCAATATATATTATCTTTTTTTGCTGTTATGTCTATTTTAATTGGTAACTTTGGTAATTGAATATTACCTGTAATATTATATATGACTGACTATACATATAGTCAAAACTGTATTATAAACCTGACTATTTCCAAAAAACCCCCAGGATTAGACAGCTCAAAATATATAACTACAGGATAATAAATAACCACCTAAATTAATTCAATATCCTAAAATAATAATATAATATGTACCAATAACCCCTTATGATTAATAATAAAAAAAATTGAATGAATGAAAATGATAAGAAGTAGGGAAAATGATAAGAAGGATGAAATAGGGAAAAGATTTTTAGGAAAGATATTTTCACTCTCATCTATCATCCTATCAAAGAGTTATTTTACTGCCTTTTTTTTGAAATATATATAAATCATTTAAAAATCACAGATGAGAATGTTTCCGGCTTCTCGTGATAAAATTTAAACAAATTGCAATGTTGTTAAACTATCGATGATAAATGATATGACCCAATGGTTGACCTCATCTAGATATACTACTACCTTGTTGATATTATAAAAGGATAGTTATGTGATTCATAACCTTCAAGTGAAACAATCCATCAGGTAAAACTAATCTTACAGTAATCTTAGAAATCAATAGAAAGAACTCAACGAATGATTACTTTTAATCATTACATTCTTCCAGCGAAATAAGTAAAATGTAAGTGAAAACTTTCGAATATGTTAATTAATGTTAATTAATGCTTCGGCTGTAAATACATAGTTTTTAAACTTCAAAAAATTTTTTTAAACTTAAATTTATTTTATATAAAATTCATAAAATATTTTAAATAATAATATTATATGCAAAAAAGCGAAAAACACATATCATACTAAAGTTATTAGCAAAAAATAAATTTATTCAAAAGATAAGTAATATTTAGCGATACATTTACGCTGTAACTTAACATTAATGAACGATTGATGTGATGATGTTTACAAGGTCATAAGAATTAATTAAGAGCAATGACCTCTATTGTTATCATGAATAATTATAGTGATTCGTTTTTTTTCCCATTCTCTATTGTAGGTGAAATTTCCGTAGCGGAAGATTCATCGTGACGAAAATTGAACTTTCAAGTATGCTTAAAAGTTCAATCTTCGTTATGATGAATTTTATGTATCTTCAATATATATATAAAGTATCCTGGATATTAATATCAATGCATTTTGAAAACTATTCGAAATTATTTCAACCATTGAAATAATTTCTTTTGCAACATCTTTTTCTCATATCACAATCTTTTCGGGAATATTCTTCATCATAAGTTAAATCAAATCATTACCAATACATATTGACAGTAAGAATTTCTTAAATTCATTTCCTATCTTTCAAATGACTGAAAATAACCATTAACTTTTTTAAATTTATTTCCTATAAATTTTATAATATTTTACAAATTATAACTTCAAATTAGAAGAGAAGAAGGAAATTCGATGAAATATTGTGAGAGTATATGAATGAATGAATGAATAGAGAAAAATAATAAAAGTGGAAAGAATGAAAAAAAGGATAATACAAAAGCATTGACACTCTTTGTATTGTCCTTTTTAAATAATCTTATCATTATCATATCATATCCTCAGATATCAATCGAAAATTTAATCTCATCATATCATTATCATATCATATCCTCAAATATCAATCAAAAAAATTGATCAATAAATAAATAAAAAAAATGATCATATATAATAAAGTAGCAAATAAAAATAAATTGCAAATTGGTGGACAATTAATGATGTTTGAGCGGGAGAGGATATATATCATTGTGACGACCCGATCGGTCATCACTCCGTCCAATCCCACTCTTTCAGTTAACAGCCCATATATTATTATACACCACACTACCATTGCACACACATACACACATACATACATACATACATAATACACAGATACCAGTCGAGCAATTTGGAGAGATGGGATAGATGAAGGAACAATTGGAGTAGATTGATAGTTATGCTATATGCTCTCTCAGTGTTTATCCACCGGATGGATCACTCTCGGGACTAAAACCATTCCTTAATTTTTTTTTTCTCTTCTCCCTCCTCATTAAGCTTATCCATTTTATTCCATCACCAACATTCCTCTATGCTTCAGTCTATCTCTCTTTCAAATTCATCTACCAAATAGTTTATTCAATTCATTCATTCACTCATACATATATCTTCCATCTGTCCGACTAGAAATTATTCAAATTAATTTAACTATTCCATCCTATCGTATATCGCATATCGCACGTCGCATTTCAATGTCCACTCATTCATTCTCTTCCTATTTATTGTTTTCGATTCAAAGCATTAAATTTTGTATTACATTCAAACATTTCTATATTTATTTAAAAGTATGTAACCGAAAAAGGTTGTCAACGAGAGAGTGGTCAGTTGATGAGAATTTGCTGAACTTTTAGGAAAGTTAAATTAATATAATTGTTTGCTAGATATCTCAGACAGAAGTAATCAATACTTTTACTTAATCAATTAATATATATCTCAAATATTTACTGCCCGGGTGATATGTATTGTGATGTTATCACTCATAACCATTTTATTATTGATCAATTATAACTAATGAATCAAGGATAGGATGAATCATCATCTCTACTCTCCTATCAAATATACATATTCCTAAACTAAACATGTCTTAATTCCCATATATATATATAGAGAAAGAGAGAAAGTTTTTATCTTAATTAATTCAATTAAAATTTTTGCAGGCCAAAATGAATGGTTGAAATTTGAATTACTGAGAGGAATACATACGAAGAAATGCAAGAGAAGGTTAATGTGTATAGTTTTTTTTATTTAAAAGAGTGAAAACGTAGCTGTCACATACATTTGAGAGAAAGGCTTCTGTTGCCTGTCTTCTTCAAATACTTACTTCTCTTTTCGATCATCAAAATTCACTGATTAAAACAGACAGGCGCTCATTTACCATAGTTTCCGTTCTCTTCAACGGTCAAAAAAAACCCTCATCAATTACACAACACATCTTCCTGAATTTACTTCGATGAAGAAGTATCACACTCACTGAAATATTGACCGGAATCACTTCTACTTCTAACTATTTCCCACTAACTATACCACTTTTAAACATCCCTTTAATAATAAATAATTATAATTAAAAAAAATTGTAGGTTCAAATGTCTTTTACTACTTTTAATATACAATTTTTTTATATAATAATTAAATTTATTAGCAATTAAAATTATATGTTATTATAACTAAAATTATCAGTGTATTATATTATAAAAAAATTTTTGAAAAATTTTCAAAATAAATTATAAATATGGTTAAAAAACAATTCCTATTAAATTCGACATATTATTATTATTATTAATTACTATTAATTATTATTATTACAATTACTATGATGATATTTTTCCCAAAATAAAATTTCGAAAAGCTTTTGCTTGCAAAAGAATTACAACAAATTCATTTCTTAATTAAACTAAAATTTCATGTAAAATATGAAATTAATGCTAATAAAAAATCAATAAGTAATTAATTAGCTAAATTTTTTTCCTTTTGTTTTTTGCAACTTTCTAATTTGAATTAAAGAGCTATCGATGATTTGAAATCGGAAAACGATAACAAATACTGAAAATATTATATTTAACATTTATTATACTCAACTTTTAAAGGTATTGTTTCTTTTCTATAAATAACAATTTTTATTATTTTTAGTTTCGTTAGCAACTTTTGCATCACTTAAAAACAAATAGCAATCAATCGCCAAGCAATCCAATCAATCGTTCGCAACATTTACGTTATTCGTTGAATTTTTGAAAGAGAGTTACGGTAAATAAAATTCAAAAAATATCTCTTTAAATGTTAATTATCTTATTTAATTATTATCTTATAGAATACATCATAAAACAATAGTTGACATTATGAATTCATTTTTGCGCATCTTTTCCCTAAAAATTTATGTGAAATTATTAAAATGAATAGTATTGTTGAATTTGAAATACAAAATATTTGAGACTTAACGTATAATGTGGAAAAAATATATTTTTTAAATTAATATATTCAAATTAATTGATATTACGCTTCTTTTTCCAGGTGGACAATAATAAAAAGGTATTACGGTAAGGTAAGAGATGTATGGTTTACAAGAGGGGTTCTCCGCCCCTCTTTTCTATAAAAAATCGCAACGATAGATCGGTTTGAAAGAAATATCATCTACCAAGAAATAAAAGTATAGCAGGAATTGTTTCGATATTCATTAAGTATAATAATAATAATAATTAAACAACATTCTATATTACTCTCAATTCTGGTATTTATTGGAAAATATTCTCAATTCTGGTATTTACTTGGACCAAAAGAAATAAGATTTCTCAGGAAAAGCAGCTTTTCAATATTCTTCATTTGGGTATATAATGTTTTTAATACAAAAAAAGAATGACTTTATTGACAGTTCTAAGATAAAGTGACGATCTAAGATCGAAAGATTTTAGAATTGAATTAAGTATAAAATCGGTATATCACCTAACTACCAGCTATTATTTCCTTTTCTAAGACAACTTATAAACAGTTTGGTTATCTCTGATCAAATAGAAGGGAAAGTAATTTTCATACGTTTATTCATTTAGTACAAAAATTTTAATCATTAAATTTTGCTTTCCTAATAATACGCTTCGAAATTGGCAAATTTATTGCTCATTTTTTCCTTTTGTCTTAAATTCAGGAAAAAAATAATTAAAATTATTATTCTAAACATTCAGTACGGCTAAATGTTCAATAAAAATATATTTCTTAAAAAAATTCCAACATTTTTTAAAATTAGATTGACAAAAATCAAAAAAAGAAAACTTACGTTGAATTGTAATCAGCGTAAATAATATCGTAATCACCAGCTGGTTCAATAAATAGATCATCATATAGTTTTGGTACCATGTCTGATTCAGATTTTCTTTCTTCTCCAACTCCGATTTCTGCACCTTCTTCTTGAGGCTTTCTTCCAAATTTCAAATCATTTGATTGTCGCACTGATTCTACAAAAAAGAAAATTTAGAAATTAAAAAATTTCTCCAATAAAAATTTAAAAGTTATTCTAATTCCAATTACGTAATAATAATAATAAGTGAAAACTAATAAACGATTACAGAATCCATTCATCATTGAACGATTACAGAATCCATTCATTATTGAATGACTACAGAATCCATTCATCATATTATGGAATCTTACAAGTGATAGTTAAAACAGAAATATCCTTTGATTTTGAAGAAGAAATAATGAATGAAATGAATGAGAACAGTAAAGATATTTTATTAAAATTTCAACATTTTTTACTATCCACAAAAAATGGCCATACAAGAAAGAGTTATAGAAATATTATCATTTCTAAGATAATTCATAACTAATCGATCATTCTAAAATATTTCATTTATCATTTTTCAAAAAGATTGTAAGCATATAATAGATGAAATTAATTATGATATAAAATATAAATAAATTAGATTAAATTTCCAATATTAAATAATAGAATTTTGAATAATGCAACATATCTATTCTAATCATTGAAATGAAATGTAAAGATAAATGATTAAAAGGCATTTTAACTTCTAATTGATATTTAATTAATATTTAAGACTTTAACTTCTAATTAATATTATATAAAAGATTTATTTAAAACAAAAAATAAAATAAAGCATAAAATTTACAAAATGTTAAGAATAAAAATTTGAATCGCTAAAAAGAGAAAGAAATTTTTTATCAAATGAGAAAATTGCTGCTATTAGAGAAGTTGAAGGAAAAAGTAAAATGTTCGGATATCTTAGAAAAAGAGAGAGAAACAGAAGATATAAGTGAAGTAAGGCAATGGTTGTTTGATATTTAACAGAGGCCTTTTTCTTCTTCCTTTCCTGAAATTAGGCCTTTACTAATAATTAAATAAGAGCCAAACATATTATAGGAATGGGAAAATGAAATGGAACACTTCAGCAATATAATTAAAATTTCATTTATCAAAATTTCTTTTAAAATCAATTAAGTAAAAAAAAACTTTTAAACATTTTAATATAAAAGGGAATTTTTATGTTTATTACCATTTTATATTTATTTCATATAATTTTTATTCATTTCAATTTATTTTCAAATTTTTAAATATTTTTAAATCGAAAGATTTTTCATATCAAAATTATCTTTAAAAAACAAAAGGTAATTATGAAAGAGATATTTTGCTTTTTATAATAAATTAATTCCTTAATTTAATAAAAAATATAATCATATAAGATAAGAAAATAAATATTCAAAATTTTCATTCATAAGAAATTTAAACACACATACACACACACACACACACACACACACACAAACAGACACATATAAACATATCCATATATCTATCTGTCCACTAACATGTCCATTAACATATCCGTAACATATAAAATAATGTTTATTATACGAAAATATATTCTTGAATATAGTAATGTATTCTATATATATATATATTTATTGAATATAGTAATATATTTTATAATCAGTGAAGTGTACGAAATGCATGAACACAATTAGTAAGTGTGACCCTATTAAATTAGAGGTGAACAGAAAGCTTTTAAACTACCGGAATTACTCTCTCTCTCTCTCTCTCTTACCTTTTCTGTTAACATTCAATATTTCCCTCAATTGTTATAATTTCCTTCGGTAGCTTCTCATTTTACCGATACCTTTCTCTTCAATTCTCAAATATTCCACATATTATTTCTATTCATACTTCATTTCTCACCAAATATTCATTATATTTGATTGAAAAAAAAAGAAAAAGAAATGGTGTCAACAACTATTACCGTTATTTTGAAATGTTTGAGAATAATATTTACCTTTGAAATTTGCAATACTCTCTTTTAATCGATCATTTAAATCTTCTTCATATTGTATTTATTCTATCTTTTTGTTAAATACTATTTCAGAGTGAAAAAGAAAGAAAGAACAAAATATATCAAATTAAATGATTATGCAGTTGAATTAGATGTTTATGTAAAAAATGATGCTTATCTTCATATTAATATCATTATCAAATTAGTAGCAATGATATCATTTCTTCTATAGTAACACTCATAGATGATATTAAATTTTAAAAATTAAATTTCACAGGTGCAGTAATGGAAACGCAACAGTAAGAGCAATTGGCATGTCAACTGTTATTGATGAGCTGTTGTCTAACCTCCTACACCAACAATTTATCATTTCAAACAATGAATTACATATTTTAATAAATTGAGCTAATCGTTAGTTAGCGGGCGGTAAACGATTGCAACAGTTATCTCTTCAACGCCACCTTGCCCACATTTCTTTTCTTATTTAATTTATTAAATTTTCGATTTTTAAAATTATTAAATTTTTTAAATTTAAAAAAGAAAAATTAATTTCTTCCAATTTTACTCGAAATTTGTATAATTATTATACAAAATTAAACAAAAATTTAACAAATAATTCAAAATTTTAAAATAATTTTAAAAATTTAATAAATTCAAAAAGAAAATTCTTTTTTAATTTATTAACCAATTTCTGTCGGCATTTTAAAAGGGTAAATGAATTTTAAAAGAATGAAAAATTAATTGATATTAGTTGTAGCAGAAAACAAAAAGATGGCTTCATGTATGTGTGTGATGATGATGATGATGATGAAAGTGGCAGGTATATTTTTAGGGATAGTACATAAGCAAACAACACTTTAGTTTAAGAAGTTTTATTTATTGAGTCGGTCCAAAGAAGTGATATAAAAGGATGGAGTAGTGGATGATGATGAATTGATGATATGATTGTATATGTTGAGGATGATAATCAACCTCAATCTCATCATCCTCATCATCATCATTTTATCATCGATTTTTATCATTTCAAAGTGAAGAAATAAGAAGAAAATAGGACACGATTTGATAGGCGAGAACGCCGGCATACAAGCCTAAGCCTAGTTTTCCAGCTAAGGGACAATAGGCCTAACTAGCTCCTTTGCCTTAACATATTAACGAATAAAAAAGTGTAACCGAAAACGTGTTTATAGAAAAATTAATCAATAATATGTATTTTTCATTAAATGTTTGCATGAAAATTTATATTTAATTTAACTTCAAAAAGTATATTAAATTTAAATTTGTTTATTTAAGCAAAGCCTAATTGAAAAGTAATTAAAATCCAAAGACTGCTTAATTGCAAAAAAAAGATTATAAACTTTTTTATAAAATGCCAAATTCATACTTCTAAATATTTCTACCTTCCTGAATTTAACTATCTATCTTCTAATGGATTTGTAGCAAAACTTCTAAATAATAAAATGGATTGGTTAGTATATCTGAAAATTGTTGAATGAAATTTAATGGAAAGCTTTTTGCTGTATGAATGAAAAACCAAAGTCCCTAATTATCCTATTCATTATGAAGAAGTATTCATGCTACCATTTTATTCAGACTTCATAAAATTATTTCCACCTTACCTCCCTCCTTCTTCTTTTATTCTATTCTTTTCCTTTTTCATTTTATTTCAAAAATTTCAATCATTTTAATTTATCCCGAAATACAACAACAATATTAATACTTTGAAATTCATTCAATCAGTGATTGCAATTTAAAAAATGAAAATTTGATGAAATTGAAGAATTCTTTACACTTTCAAAATTCTTCAACAATTACTTTCATTTTCATTAATAATGTTTAATAAATTATCTTAAAATTTATGATTTCTTTTTTTAATTCATAAGACTATTTTATGGATGTTAAATGTAGAAATCGAATGTTCCCTATTCCAATTAAAAATTCAGGCTTAAACAGTACTTGTAAAGGTCATGAGCACTTAGAGAAAGGGTAAAGATGAGGCCATCTGTCTAGAAATACGTAATTAAGCACATTGAAGATTATGTTTTATAGAGATAAGATGAAATTTTCTACATCTGTCACATACTAAAAGTGGAAAAACAAATTTATAAGGAATTTCTTTTAATTGAGAATTAATGATGTTGGAAAAGAGACAAAGATATTTGACTTAATAAATCTAAACACTTCAATATATCCGGTGGGGCCATTATTTCGAAATGTATTAATTAAGTTGAATAATTAGCTTAATTTAGCCAACTTCTGCATCAAAAAGAATAATAAAAGGACTGATTATGCATCATGAAAATAATATTCTGTGCCTAATTTAATGTATGACTTATATAGTCCTTAAATGATTATTATTTATGAAGATATTTCAAGCCTAGTTTAGTCTACGTTTATACAGTTCCTATAATATTAACGACGAGACTAATAAATGGAAAATTGAGATGAAACGGATCGCTTCTAAATGAATAAAATTTGATTTGCAAATGTCAAACAATATTATTTTAGGAATGGATGACACACACACACACACACACACACACACACACACACACACATACACACACACACATACACACATACACATATATATACACAAATAGGTTTCTCTTGTATTAATGGTAAAAGTATGAATGCCTGAGCACTTCAGCATGTTTAATTGAGCATGATTTTGTTGAAGGTCATAACAGTTTTCTATTCTCTATTATCATCGGAATTCATCTTAATGCCTTTAACATTCTCAGCACAAAAATACAGTATATTATATTTAAATGAAATAGAAGTCTTATTACAGTACAATGTGGCTCATTTATTCATTCACTGATTAATAATCAAATCTTTATAAAGGTCAAATGTTGATTCTTTAGAATTTACAACAGTTAGAAAAAAAAGGATTAACTGGTTGGAGGTTGGTAAGGATGGAAATTAAGGAATGAAAGATATTTACGAATGATATCAAAAAGGATGAAAAGTAAAGAATGATATCAAAAAAGATCTCTTCGTATCATTAATGTCCATTTTAAGTGCATAGATATTATGAATTTAAAATTTGAAAAATGCATGCAATTATGTAAATTGCACGAAATGAAATTATGCCACTCTTAATTATTAATATATTTCGTAGTATTCTTCCAATTAAATATCTATTCATCTTTTCCGAAATAAAAAAGTTTGGAATATTTAAAAACTATTCGATCAGTGTACCTTAGACTATTATCATTGTTTATCAGTTGATATATTTAATAGATGCATATATCAAAAAATATTCTGATCATTAACATTTACCGTGGTACTGCGGGCAAATTGATCATATTATATAATAGAAGA